ATTTGATTTTTCCACTATTTGATATTTCGTATTTTGATGGCTTTTTGTTATATATAACAATATCTATGGTTAGAACTTGACATGAAAGATGTAGACTGACGAATATTGACAGAGTACTAATACGTAGTAAAAACAACTCAAAGAAGATTATAGCGTATGTATTGAAGCTCCTTGTAGCGTAGTGATAATGTGACATACAACGACACCAATAAGCCTGTCCAGTCAGACCAACGGAAATCAGAACCAATTTTGAAAAGTTCGTTTCCCAAATCAGTCTTACCGGGAATCCAACCCGGGACCTCTACATTTAGCGTCCACCATACTGACCGCTACCCCATAGTACCTACTCGTCAATAAATTAAATTAAACTTATAATACTCACCTAGTGCGAAAAGTTTAGCCAAATATCCCACCACGTACGTTGTCATGGACGCAAATCACATAAACAATCCGTGTCCTTTGTATTCCGTAGAAGATACCTCATTCAGTATTGTATCTACTGTACTATTATATCAAGTATCAATCCTATGAACTATTTTCCACTAAACGACAAAGCACTAGCGAGCTACCGCTGCAGCTGCCGTAACTTTCGAAGTGGTATATCGTCGGGGATAGTGCAATTCGCGTTACTAGCATTGGATTATGAGTTTCCATTTCGGTAATTTAGTGGAAAAATCAAATCCGCGTAAATGTCGCAGCAAATAAATTAGCGTAATTTACGGCAATCTGTTGTTATGAGTCCGTAGATAACGTAAATTAATGCTTACTGTGCATAAATAAAAATCGTAGCCATTGAAGTAACAAAGTAAGAACGTTAAATTCCCCTCCTGTCAAAGTAGGTTTATTGCAGATACGTGCCTTTTACCAATGCTACATACGTGTATTTGCACTATCCCTGACAATATGACTTGTTTGAATAAATAAGAATCTCGCACGGCCAACCGTCCGCAACTAGCCGCTTAGTGACACATGAGTGTTAAGAGGTATTTTCCACTAAGTGACTAGCTGCGAGCGAACGCAGCCATAGCAGCTACTTTTACTTTCGAGTCGCAGCCGCGTCAATGGATGTGGTATGTAACTTGTTTGAATAAATAGGATACTCGCGCGGCCAGCCGCCGGCGACCAGCCGCTTAGTGGCTTAGTGACACTTGAGTGTTAAGAGCTATTTTCCACTAAGTGACTAGCCGGGAGCGACCGCAGCCGTAGCAGCTACTGTTACTTTCGAGTCGCAGCCGCGTCACTGGGTATGGTATGTGACTTGTTTGAATAAATAGGACACTCTCGCGGCCAGCCGCCTGTGACTAGCCGCTTAGTGCAAAATTAATCTTACATAGATAGATATTAAACATCGAGATACTATCAGCAAATTAAAGAAAAAATTGGATGCACCGAAAAAAATTCAACTGACTTTAAAACCTGAAACCCCTTCCCGGCTACGCCCATTGGTTGGATTACTATCATTTGCTACCATTCAAAGATGATTAAACAATATTTTGTGAGGCAAATTTTTATGTTTATAATCTCAGTGGGTACAGCTAAAAAAAACGACATCCAAAGAATTTCGTAGAATTACATCTAATTAATTTGCCAAGTTTTATTGAAATAGTTAGTTAGAAAGTTTTATTCAGAAAAACGCCTTCAATTGGAGCATAGCAAAAGCAATCATTGAAATAATTGCTTCTTATAAAATGTAGGCGCTATTTATGCGTGAATATTTTCTTCAAAATTAAATGGGACCACTACTGAGGTACCCTCTTTCCAACAAAAATAATCATTCAAATCGGTTCACCAATGTCGGCGTTATCGCGTAACATAAAATAACATGCAATCGAATTGAGAAATTCCTCCTTTTTTGAAGTCGGTTAGTAAAAACGTATATACATCGCTAAAGAGAGGTGCACGAAAGAAGAATCGTACCATTCCTTTCTTGTACGCCTGAAGCATCCTGGGCAATAATCGGCGAGTACCTTACGCCGGTTGGCAATTCCTTTCACCACGATGGCAAACATTACAGTGTATGATACCGATATGACAAGAAGAAGAACGCTAAAGGGAAATTTGGAACATATATCGTTTCTCCATTAATAATCTAACTATCAAACTTTTCATTGTGCTTGTAATTTAATAGTAAATTCATTCATTCAAGATCACGAAGCATTTAATTCGCACCTATATAGTACCCTATTTCAAGACTTCACTCTCTGGTATAAACATAAAGTACACGGAAAAATAGATATAAGCAAATGTGAAGCAAAACTTTGTATAGCCTGACATCACGTGCAATTGCCATAGAACAGCATAATTGCAGACAAACATGAAGTCTAATTATGTAGTGAACTTACAAGGCGTAGATTGTGCAATTTTATTCTATGCAAGTAAGCAATGATTTGGCGCTATAGATAATTGGCCTAGTCACATGGACCTTAGCCCACGTGACTTGCACGATTATTTCAATTTAAATGTCGCATTGTGCGGTGAAAATTGAATTGTAGGTCGTTGTAAGTCTAAATACCATTTTTTCACTTAAATATTTCGTTTTTTAATGTATATTATAGGTTCCTTGTTTAAAAGTAAAAAAAAACATGTAATTTCTTTACTTTTAAATATGGAACCTTATACACAAAGAAGGGTATATTTAAGTTAAAAAGCAAAAATGGTATTAGAGACTTACAACAACTTCGTGGGAGATATCGACTTAATTATATTTTGTCAAAATTACAATTAAGTCAATGTAGCACCAAATGACCGATTATACTGCCGCGTACTTATTTTTACACCCGTTTACTCTTCCCCAGTAGTCATTATAATTAGTCTATCGCAATCCACTGCTAGACATAGGCCTGTCCCAATGCGCGCCATCACGCCCGATCCTCAGCTTGTTGCAGCCATCCGCTGCCGGCAGACTTTCGCATATCTATTTCTATTTCATTCCATCTGGCCAAAGGGCGTCCTACACTACGTTTGCCGAGCCGTGGTCTTCCTAAGGATTGCCATGTATTAAATATATTTTTTTTCAACGTCAAATGACTCATTCCGCATAACAATGAGAATGTTGAATTAATCACTTTGAAAAAAAAAATTAGTAAAATTGAGGATGTACACGTATACTGATTTATTAGTATACGGTGTGAAAACACGATTCCTAAAAATTTTCACGATAGAAAAAAGAACACAAAAGTTTGTGTTCTTAGGTAAGTACCTTTTATAAGAAAACCATGTGAAAATTTGTGTTTCCTTTGTAAAAAAATTAAATTCTGAAATAAAGCCAATCTCTACCGCTCGACCCGCGCAATAAAACCGGTTCACTACGGGAAATATTTAAATTCGAGCTCAGGTAGTATGGACTCTTAACACTGCTCATAAACTTCTCACCACGGTGTAACTGTTTCTTGTGATTATGGAGTGTGGAAGCACTATGACTTACCGGGAAAAAAATTAACAGTTATATGAATATGCGAAACTTCAAAATAACGTTGCATCCTCAGGATCTACGCAAATCGTATTCGCAGAATCAACAGAGACTCAGAAGTCGAAAGGTTTCATATCTCTTTTTAAAACTGTCTCGCTTCGTTATTCTAACATTACAAACGGGGTATTCGCGATAAAATCGATTTAATACGTATTTGCACAGACCGTGACCACGGCAAGTGCAACTTAACCGAACCGTCGGGATAATAATACACAGACACTCATTTGCGCATGATACAGCAATCGTGCGCAAATGAGCGCGCGTGTAAAAACATTGTTAGAAGGAAAAGGGAAAGACAGCGCGATTGCGCTCATCAGTCACTCGCTCCAACAAGCGCCTATATCCTGCGCTATCAGCCTTTGCACTGACGCTCTTTTCGTTGTAACAAAAACGAACTCGAGCAATCGCGCGCGAAAGAACATTAGCTTAAAAAAATCAAACAGGTAGGTAATCGCGCACGATTGCGCGTGCAGGCTTCGGATCACGCGAGATAGAGTAACTATGTAAAAGGGGCTGTTGGGTAGGTTGGTGTGCAAATACTTAATAAATCAATTTTATCGCGTTTGATATCTCTCCTATTTACTCTACGATATTAAGTGACGGAACAAACAAGTCGTGTTCCTAATGCCGATGCTTGGATGCTGGATGCCTTGGCGACAAGCAGTAACGTGAGCATTATTGCGATCCGGTTTTGAAGGGTCAAAGGTGCTGGTGAAATTACATGCACTTGGGACTTGTCAACTTATATCTCAGAATGACAGGCGCCATGGTAGTGGCAATGGTAGTGCCCCTCACATCTTTTCGATTTATAGCTCTGATTGGCACTGAACTGAACCTGGGACCTCTGCGTGGTAGACCGGTATGGCAACTGTTCAGCCATGGAGGCAGTTATCTATTATTTACCTTATGCCGATTGACAAATACTTTCGCAACGTTGGCAAGCATTGTTTATATTCTATGCCATCAAAATGAAAACAAGAAAATGATTTCTGTGTAACGATCTCAACACGCGCATCCTTATTTTGTTGCTTAACAAGAATAAGGGTTTAGTTAGGTCAGAATGGTCTGACCTAACTAAACCCTTTCCTAAGGGACACAACTATTTAAATACGTAAAGCTCCATAGCTTTACGTATTTAAATAGTTGTTTCCAGCCCTACCTTCATTGTTTTCCTTCACAGTTAAGGCTGTAATAAATAGTCATTAATCTCAATTAGGTACTCAGTAATATTCTGCTTATAAAACAAGAATTCTGCCACAACATATCTAACCTAGATACACACGTAAATGGTATAGTGAAATAATAGACTACCTACGCTTCCACATTTATATGGCGAACGGCTATGGAGTGGAATTCTCTGGCTGCAGACTTATTCCCTGAACGCTATAACTTGAGCCTTTTCAAAGCGAGAATAAATAGGCATTATTTAATAGTAATTGCTCCATCGTCGACCTCATCGTCTCTTTCGAAACTTGACATGGAGGCCAAATGCGCATTATTTAAAAAAAAGACTTAATTTTTTAAATAATGTTTATGGAAACAGAAAATTCTTGGGATCAGATTCGTAAATGCATTTCGATGTCCAATATGATGATTCGCATAAGTCTTCGTATTTAGTAGCTGAAAATTAATATTGCATAGATTAGTCATCGATCAGTATCGAATTAATTGTATAGGTTCGTCAGTCGAACAAGTCTCGAATATATTTTAAATTTTAATATAGTAACATTGATAATATGAAGTAAATTATTCTATCCGATTCTTTCGTTCACAATAATTCACTGTTAGACTGCAAAAACCAACTTTATATTAAACTTAAGTACCAATGCTTGCAATGTAAAAAACACTCTTAATACATTGTGCTAAGAGTATAAAAAAACGAAGTATTGGCGTGAAAAATAACATATCTCCAAACATTTAACAGAATCGTCCTAATTAATATAATAACCTTAGTCTGCATAAACTATGAAATAAGGAGAAAATAATTGTAAATACACGAACTCACCTACATCTTTACATATTTCAATAGATCTCTTCGCAGATTCCTTCATTTCATTTGGATACATAAGGTCCACTTGTTTCAAAGAGGCATCATAGTTTAACTTATTGTTTTTTACCTGAAAAGTATTACAGTTATCACCATACTCTAGTAATATTGGCAATACGACAATCAACTTGTGAACAAAACGAAGATCCCCTACGTAAAGGGACCGCGTTTCTCTATGTATACGAGGTAATGGGAATAATGTGATTTTTTTATTTGTTTGTGTTCTAGGTACATCATGTTTTTTGCTTTATTATTATTATTATTAATATTATTATTGTTATTGTTTTTGCTAATAACTGTAATTGGATTATTTTAAAGATTGTATACCGCTAAATGTGCTGGTGTGTGTAAATTATTTTCTTATTCAAAAGCTGCTACGTTTATTTTTACTTACGATTTGCGACATTTGGTACACACAAGCAATGTAGCACATTACTTCCTTCTCTTCTATAAATATTCCTTTCATGATTCCCTGGATTTTATCTAAACAGGAAAATTTTCATTAACATACCAATTATCTGTAGATTATTTCATGAATGAACGATGTTGATGACCGACTACTATATTATTTTTATTATTATTATATTTATTCCATAGCATTTATGGTTATTTGAAAATAGCAATCCTAGACTATCTTACACGTTCTTCTTAGGGAAATCAGCACAAAAAATGATGTCATAAAGTGTAAATTTATTTTACCTAAATAAATATAATTATAATTTGACTTTGACTAATCTGTGTGTGATAAAGAAGCGAAAATACAAGCCGATGAATACTTCGGGCGTGCATCGAACAACCGCCAACCCTTGAATATACCTCGTTGAGAGCGAAACAGTAGTGGTGTTTATAATTGTAGTTGAGCTTATATATTTTGTTTTATTAACTGCACGAAAAAATATTCAACTCAAACGCAATTATATTGCACGATTTAACCTGCACAGAGTTCAAGGGGTAGCAACTTAATTTACTTCCATTTTTATTAACATGGATTTCCGCAAAGTAACGCCTAATTATATAGATAATTCTCCTATAAGTCATTTTTTTAACTTTTATTAAATTTTTGAACATATTATATAGGTAACAAATGTTATAAAAATGTTTATATAATAACGGCGCGTTATTTAAAATGTTGATTACTGACCATCGAGATATAGAGTACTTAGTTAGTTTATTCGCTAAATCGATGACTGTAGTTATTACTTTTTTCTTAATGAATGGCTTGAGAGACTAATTTATAGTCTCAATTCAGCCAGTATCCGTTACGTGTTAGTTTCATAAACATCATGGAGGGAGTGTATATAGAAATTATTATTTTAGAGCGGGTAACACCGAATGGTTGTAAGTGTCAATTTTCGGCAGGGAAGAAGAAGTTTGATAAGTCGCCAGTGGTTTGAACACTTACAAACCATTAACTCTACATTTAACTAATTTTGACGTTATTATTCACCGCCGGCTTAACGAATTAATAACGAAGAACGTATAGACCTATTATCAAGTAATTCCTGACACAATTAGTGACAAAGGAGTTTTCCACAACATCTCCCTGTACGGTTATACTCCGACATATATTTAAATATAGTGCTATGTTGATATAAACTGAAACCTAGGTATTTTATTGCGTTCTCAGACATACCTTCTTCCACACCTGATTTTCCCAAACAAGTTTTTCGTAACAACTTCATCGAATTCTTCAGCTGCTGCTTTGTCATCTGCAAGAGCAAATATTATTGCGATACACAACGAGAAACATGTTCGAAAAGACAAAATATTTCAAATAGATACCGTATTTTTACCTAACATGACACGTAAAAAGTTTTCGTAACATTGTCTATCTTTGACCTCTACCTTAAGGCGCTTATTTACTAGTAAACATGTTAGGGGTATTAACCGATATTTTTTACCCTCTCTCCTATTCGTAGGAGAATCATGAACTGATCTCTACTTGCACGGTTATATTCGTTAAAGAATGTGATGCTTTTGTCGTATATTTTATTGACATTTT